CTGTCGTACAATTCGTCTTCCTGCGCGCCCACCATTGCGAGAAAGTCCGCTATCTCATTGCTTGGGATTGGGCAATTTGAGTGGACCCATACAAACGTACTCTTATATGATCTTTTGACCAGCACGCTCATCTGCTCCCACACCTATGAAAGGAAATAAGATGAGTCATAGTTGAAGATGCTAATTTCAAATAACAGACTAAAGTGGTAATTTTTATACGATAGATGGAGGAGATGAAAGTCTATAGTTGATAGTTCCGTTAGAGTACGGCAGTGTGAAAATTGCATATAGATAGTAGATAGCGAGCTATGACAACTTTTAAGGAAGTGTACCCCATTAGGCATAAATGCGTTAGGCATACGGACGTTAGGCATATGTACATTAGGCATAATGGACGTTAGGCATAAAGTCATTAGGCATTATACGTTAGGCATAATATACGTTAGGCATAATGGACGTTAGGCATAAAATACTTTGCTGCTGTGCAACTCTAGAAACCTGTTTCGAGCATGGTAAACAATGCTTAAATTAAGCTAAGCGTTGAATAAAAATGAAACAAGTTAAAAAAACATAGTTTATTTAATAAACACAGTTTGGAATCCATTATTTATCATATCATAAGTGACGTAGCTATATATTTGCTTAGATCCAAGATTAGTAGCGATAGCAGTTAAGTAATCTGGCAATGAAAACTCACCATAGTTTTGAACTATATATTGAAATCAATCGCATCTAGAAATAAAAAAAATCACACATTTGTTGTAATATATTCTTACACACATATTGCAATTGCCAAAAAAGAAAAGGTTTTCCTCAAAGAACAGCTCATGAAATAAAGAATGGTGAATTCTGTGATTTTTCATTCAATAACAAAAAACAGCTAAAGTTTTTTTTTTTTCTTAATCAAATAAGGTTGAATAAAATATGATGCAAAAGAACAGCTCATGAAATGAAGAATGGTGAATTATGTGGTTTTTCATTCAATAACAAAAAAACATACCTGCTGCTTCCAGGATTTTCTGCCATACTTTTCAATACAACGATTCTGTTTTTGTTATCATCAGAATGAAAACTAGCGGAACCGTCTGCTGATGTGAGGGAGCGATACTTCAATGAACAGTGACGAGTTGCCGAAACAAACAAGGAACTGTCGCAAACGTACCATCTGTAACCCAATACTTTGCCTGTCCAAGACGTCGCAAGTTTACATGAGTTTCAAAAATTAAGGCTCTTTCATTATTGTCACCGAAGTCAGCAATCAATAGACGGTCCCCATTATCATCCTTCTGGAATTCATTGGGTAGATTATGCCTAACGTCCATTATGCCTATCGTACAGTATGCCTAACGTCCGTATGCCTAACGTCCGTATGCCTAACGTTCGTATGCCTAACGACCGTATGCCTAACGTCGTGTACCCGTACACATCGGTTTTTTCATCTCTCTTTACCAAACTCCCCCTTTGGAGAGGGATGGTGAGGGGTGTCCCCCCCCCCCCCGCCACCACTGGCAAAAAGAGATGAACGCCGACCCGCTCAAGTACCAACGATGTGTTTGAAACAGTTCTACCGATTTTTACCGCACTTCAGTTGTTATTTGAAGGAAGGCATCCAGTCGTTTGTTTGGAAATTGCAGCTATTGTTTACCCCTACCACGATATGTGCTCCTGTCATCGTCGACTAGACGATCTCGAGGGGACACGGGTGGGGTAGGTGCTGCTACTGTACTGTACAAGGATATTGTTCTGGATCCTTTGGAGTTTGAGGTGATGGCACTTAGCATAGTTCTCCCATATTGGCGTTCGGTACTCAATGGCGGGGCGGATGATTTGCTTGTGGACGGCAAGCTTGTTTTTAATAGAAAGGGTGGACTTTCTGTTGATAAGTGAATAGAGCGACCTAATCAAGATGTTGCATTTGGTGGATGATTGGTCCACATGGGAACGAAACAGCAACTTGCTATCAAGGTATCAAGGGTGATGACTTCACTTGACCATTCAATAGGAGTATCAAGGTGGACTTTAAAGCTACCAGGCGGGACAAACCGAGGTGAATTGGAGTGCGGAAATAGTATGGTCTGTGTTTTAGCTGCATTGATACAAATCTTCCAGCTTTTGAAATAATCAGACAGAACATCCAGGCCTGATTGGAGTTTCCTCGTCAGAACAAGAATCACTCGCCTTCTCGACGTCCAACAATGCCATGGCAGATGTCTTGGAAACGGACATGTTCCGCTTGATATTGTTAGTAACCCGTGCAAGTTGGTGGATAGTAGCGCGGCCATTCCTAAGCCCAAATTGTTCTTTGAGAAAGATGTTATTATGATTTGAAAACACCAGTAGACGGCTCAGTATCAACTTTTCGAATAGCTTTGAAATGGAGGACAAGAGGCTGATGGGGCTTTTGCTTTTGGCACTGGTAGGGTATTTGCCAGGCTTGTGGATTGAAATGACTTAGGCTAACTTCCAGTATGCAGGAAAGTAGTCAAGCACCAAACACTTATTAAAGACCGCTGCAAGGTGCTTGAAGAAGTAAAAACTCAAGTTTTTTAACTCGAGGTTGACCACTTCATCGACACCAGCGGCCTTCATGTTCTTGGTTGATTTAATCGCTGCTATCACCTCATCAGGCGATATTCTACTTTCGTCAGTGACAACTACGGGGGTGGCAGTGACTCTAGGCATTGCCTCCGATACTGCAGGCTCGTGGGGACTCACCATGACTTGGCCAAGGTTATGTGCATTCACAAAATGTTGACCAAGTCCAATTTCAACTAGGGTTATGAGTAAGGATGGATCCAAATTCTGATTAGGACAGGAAAGGGGAGGGATGGTCTTCAGCTTATTTTTTTAATCTTTGCTATTTTCCAGAATAGTTTAGCACAATCTCGGAGAGAGTGAATCTTGTTTGCAAAATCGTTATTTCTGAGATCCACCATTCTGGTTTGGATGATTTTGTTTGGTCTTCAGGTTAGGCAGCCTAGTACACTAGTACTGCCTACGATTCGTGTTGCGGAGTCTAATGAGGTCTTACGTAGGCCTGTTAAGGTTCAGAGTATTAATCACCTGTCTGGATACTGGAACATGTTGCTCCCTGACCCGGGAAATCGCTTCATCGATGGAGCGCAGACACCGGTCGATGTCGTCGGTCGTTTCCGAGTGGATGTGGACTAGTGACAACGGAGTGTTGGAACTGCGAACAATCTACCCGATGGTAGTTTTGCCGCGATGCTTGGAACTTGATGACTGAGAAACCCTCTTCGGCCACCACCGGATAGTGGTCCGAGCTGAGTTCTTAATGACCTGAATATGCATCAAAAGCGTATTACTGCCACTTTTCGAATTTTCTGTATGGGGATTTTTATTACTTACTACTAATGAAACAGTGCCATCTGTGCGAAAAATAGCCTTGACTTAATGGTTCCATCAATGCCATTGAACCAGTTGTGGTAATTAATAATTTAAAGTGATTCAGATGGATAAGGCCTATTGGTTTGTTAAGCTCAAATTCCACATTTTAACTTGACAGCACGATCAGAAAGCAGGTTTCTGTATTAAGTGAAATTATTCGGATGGCCGTATTGCATGTTTGGCCTCTCAGTTCAGAATTCACTTACCATGCAGTGCTAGTGTCATTTGATTCAAAGGCTTGCTTCAGAAGTCTACATTCACTGGAAACGAATCTTATTTAAAGAGTAAGTCACTCTTGTCAAGAATATGGGTGAATATCTCACCATATATGCAATCTTTCTCGAAAGAAAAGAGGACACATATTAATGAATGTTATGAAAATTATAATTAAGCCATTCTATTGGGAATTTATTATGCTACATACAACGAAACAATCAAATTGACATTCCAATTGAAACGTTTGCAGTTTTAAAGATTTTTAACTGAGCACAGGTAAAAATAAATTGAATTTAAGTTAACTTTAATAAGTTTTAGTTGAAAGCCACTTGTCTGTAACATAAAGATTTGTTATGTCAGGTGCACTTTGATTTCCAAGGTTGTTTTGCCATGACTAACATTAATAAGTTAACAAAAGTTGGGTGAACATGTTTGGAACCTAATTACGAATAAAAAGGGTACTGATTTTCTAATTTCATAAATTTAATATTTTTTTCAGGATTTATTCAACAATATCCCAATTTAAAAAAAAAATATTTATAATGATTTGTTCATTTTGGAGTTAAATGTTCAAACATATATTTTCTTATTAATATATTATTGAATGGAGCAGCAAAAATAATCTCGTAATTCTATGTCGATAATGCGGTCGTGCTATGGACAAAACTCCTAACTCTTTTTTTACCAATACAGTTCTGTCAAAAATAAAAGGTCAAATTTCCCATAGTTAGGCAAGCTTACAAATGCTCATTACAGCTAAAATGCTATTTTTCGGATTTATGAAGCTATGAAATATTTTAATGATAATTCATATTTACAAGATGCAAGAACAGAAGCTACAGTGTGTGTATGACACATAAAACATGTCAATTTAGCTTTCAGAGAGAGCAATAGCGATTAGCTGTAACGATGAGCAACGCGATGAGCGAGCAATCAGCGATCATAAAATCGCTAGTTGTGTCCTTCTGAAAGCAAAATTGACAAATTGTATATGTCATATACAAACTTTACCACCTCTTCTTGCATCTTACAAATAAAAACTATCATTATAGTATCCCATTGTTTCATAATAACAAAAAATAGCATTTTAGCTGCAATGAGCAATTGCAAGCCTGTAGTAAGGTACTTCCATGTAAAACTTCAAAAGACGCAATATAAAGATTCAATTATTATAAAATTTATTTATTCTAACACTCAGGGAAGTTCAGGCAACGATGATACCAAACGTAACCAAGTTCAGATTGCAATATTAATTTGTCTACCCTTCACAGTGGTTCCGTAGTATTCCTTTAACCTAGAATTAAATTTGTTTCAATTTTCCATTCCAGAAATTGATCGTATTTTTAATAGCAACTCTTGCGGCTTCGGGTCGCTCAATGACCTTTGATGGATATATAGGCTACACACCTTCGTGCAGTTTTGGCTACCCTACTAAATCCACCGTAGTAAGCACCAGTATTGTTACCAAAACTGTGCCAATACCACCACAAACTGTCACTCGTTTGAGTACTTCCGTCATCATCGAAACTGTTCCCGTATACAACACTATAACAAGTACCAGTATCTTCACCAAACCTGCTCCACCACCAAAGACGATTATCCAGACCGTCCCTTTACGTCCAGAGACATCCGTAGTAGTTAGTACTGTAATTAAAACCACTCCAGTGTACAAAACTACTAAAAGTACTGTAACAACCACTCTACCACCAGTTACGCTTCCACCCCAAGTGTCCACGAAGATCGTTACTATTCCCCCCGTAACTAGAACTCAGACAACCACATATACCACGACTAAACCCGTCGTATCCAGAGTTACAGAATATAAACCTGTACCTGGACCAGCCGTTACTCTTCCCCCACAGGTGGTGACTACAATTCAGACCTTACCACCGGTAGTACGTACCAGCATTTCATTCATTACCACTACTACTCCTGTCATCGAATACCGCACTGTCACTCCTTCTGTATCGACGCGTACACTGCCTCCGTTGACTGTTCTCGAAACCAAGACCTTACCTCCCGTAACTATCACATCTATTTCCATCATCCCAACCCCTAGTCCCGTATACCGTACCATCACTCAAACTACCACTACCACTCAACCACCCCCACCGCCAGTTACTTCATACTCTACCACAATCGTTACTAAAGCACCAGAGACACGAACCGAAAAACTGACTAGCACTTCAACCAAAATTGAAACTAAGATTATAACGAGTACTATAACTAAGACAGTGACCACTCCCGTTCCCCAATTCATTACCACAACGATCCCAATACCTCCAGTTACCATCACTGTCTGTCAACCAACGAATGCCTATCTGCCGGTGAAAACACCTGAAACTTCCTACCTGCCGCAACTTGCCACCTATGACGATCAACCACGGTACAACGATGTCTTTCCGTATGACGGTGGAAAGTAAATGCTACCCAAATCCGAACATGATACTCACCGATATGACACAAATGCACAAATTACAATTGAGGTTACTTTAAGAAGACAAGTTGTGTGAATGCGAATTTAAGAATGGCAAGTAAATGAAATAAAGCGAAACAATTAAGCAATGTGACGCAAGAGTTTTATTTTGGACTCACCTCCACTTCCGTTCTGCAATTTCTGTTGATATCGGCTTTTGATGACAAGCTACGATGGAGCTCTGCGTTAGAGATCCAGTTGTGTGGTCACTACGCACACTATTATTGACCGCAGGCATGCAGATGGTTCCGTCATCTGGCTGCCAAGATATTAACCGTTAATATAGTCCTATATATTATGGAGGGAACTTGTCTGCACCTATGTTGTTGACATATTTGCTTTTATCCATTTTTTAACATTTTTAGCCCTGAAGATGGAAGATACAGGTCTCAGGCAAAAATAAAAAGATTGAATTTATCACAGTAATTTCAATATTGTAATATTAATTTGTAAACCATTGAGAATATTGAATCGTTGTATTCCTCTAATCTTTAAATAAATTTGTTTCAATTTTCCATTCCAGAAATTGCTCGTAGTTTTAATAGCAACTCTCGCGGCTTCGGTTCGCTCAATGGAATTTAATGGATATGACTACCCCAAACCTTCGTGCAATTTAGAATATCTTCCACCAGCCACCAACGAAGTAACCACGACTATTATTACCAAAACTGTGCCGCTACAGCCAGAACCTGTTACTCGTTTCCGTACTTCCGTCCTCACCGAAACTGTTCCCGCATATGAAACTGTAACAAGTACCACTATCGTCACACGCACTGCACCTCCTCCACCACCAAAGACGATTATACAGACCGTTCCTCTACCCCCGATTGTATCCACCGTAGTTACTACTGTAGTCAGGTCAACCCCAGTGTACACAACTGTTACAACGACTGCAACAGCCACTCTGCCACCAGTTACACTTCCACCACAAGTGACCACAAGTGTAGTTACTCTGCCCCCAGTTACTAGGATTCAGACATCCAACTATATCGTGACTTCCCCTGTGGTATCCAGAGTTACAGAATATAAAACTGTACCTGGGCCAGTCGTCACTCTTCCACCAACGGTGGTGACTTCTACTAAGACCTTACCACCGGTAGTACGTATCAGTACTTCTTTAATTACCACCACTACTCCTGTCATCGAATACCGCACGCTCACTCCTTCTGTAACAACACGTACACTTCCTCCTACGACTGTAGTGAAAACCAAGACCTTACCTCCCGTAACCACCACATCTACTTCCATCATCTCAACACCCACTCCCGTCTACCGTACCATCATTAAAACTGTCACTACCACTCAACCACCGCTACCACCAGTTACTTCAGTTTCTGTCAGCACCACTACTAAACCACCAGTGACACGGACCGATATACTGACTAGCACTTCAACCAAAATTGAAACTAAGATTTTAACGAGTACTGCAACTAAGACAGTGACCACTCCCGTTCCCCAATTCATTACCAAAATGGTTCAACTACCACCAGTTACCACCACCGTCTGTCAACCAACGAATGCCTATCTGCCGGTGAAAAAACCTGAAACTTCCTACCTGCCGCAACTTGCCACCTATGACGATCAACCACGGTACAACGATGTCTTTCCGTATGACGGTGGAAAGTAAATGCTACCCAAATCCGAACATGATACTCACCAATATGACACGAATGCACAGAAGACAATTGAGGTTACTTTAAGAAGACAAGTTGTGTGAATGCGAACTGAAGAATGCAAGTAAACGAAATAAAGCGAAACAATTTAGCAATGTGACGACGCAAGAGTTTTATTACAACCGCAATCTATTGCGGTGTTCATCCCACGGGACTGTCAATCCTACGAGCGCGCGAATCAATGGAACAACAGCATTTGGGTCTATTCCGGATTTGAATTAACGGATTTGAAAACGATTTTCACTCAAGTGAAAACTATTCCTTATATTTTAAGAAAATAATACGAACTATTCGTCGCGGTTTGGAAGGAAATCTTCTTTTCCCTTAATACGACCCATCAAGCGGTCTCGTCCACTGTTTTGGCGATTTTATCCTAGTTGAAGATGCTAATTTCAAATAACAGACTGTAGTGGTAATTTTTATACGATAGATGGAGTAGATGAAAGCATAGAGTTGATAGCTCCGTTAAAGTACGGCAGTGTGAAGATTGCATATAGATATTAGAATAGCGAGCTAGGACAACTTTTAAGGATGGTACAAATCGGTTTTTTCATCTCTCTTTACCAAACTCCCCCTTTGGAGAGGGATGGGGAGGGGTGTCCCCCCTCGCCACCACTGGCAAAAAGAGATGAAAACCGACCCGCTCAAGTACCAACTGTGTGTTTGAAACAGTTCTACCGATTTTTTACCGCACTTCAGTTGTTATTTGAAGGAAGGCATCCAGTCGTAGGTTTATCCTACCTTTTTTTTATCCGAGCCGTTTTGATGACTGAATCTTTTACCTTCAGTTTCCTCTTCATAATTTCCCAGTAGTTTTCAATGGGCCTGAACTGGGGACAATTGGGCGGGTTGGAGGGTTTTCGGAACAAACTGGACTCCGTTGCCATTGTGACAGCTCGCAAAATCCAACCAAAATGTCACCAGACCATCATGTGACCTAGTAAATAGATAACCTTTTCGTGGTACGTTACGGGATGTAAGATCTACCACCGATTCCTGGTCCTGACTACTTCAAACTAGGGGAACAGGATTTTGAGTATTCCAAGGAACACATCTTAGTCCTTGTTACTTTTTATGTCTTGTTGATAGTGACAAGACTCGGCTTTATCCACCGAGGATGATCTTGAAACAAGGAAAAAATGAGTTAGTTAGTCTTCATCTATGTGATTCCTAATCTTCTATTCGTTGTTCCCTAGTTTGAGGTGGTAAAGACTAGGGTTCTGATGCATGGTCATTATCGGTGTCATTCCTTAATTTTGTTGCTAAGGAATCCAATTTTGACTGACAAAGGGGCGTGCCTTTGGAAGGTGTTTCAACACTCCGAAGGGTATAAAGAGCGGGACCTTTCAATTAGAGTCGGATCCTTGCGATAAATGCGAGAATGACAACTGTAAAAAAAATCGAATGCTTCATCATTTCTCAATAGTAGCGGCGCCGGTGGTGTAGTGGTAAGCGTGATTACCCGAGCAAAGTTAGAGATCAAATTGAAATCAGAATTTGCTGTTATGATGTAACTTATTTTGACTACTCCATTTGATCTCATTTTGGTTGACTTAACGGCTAACACAGCAAAAATGAGATCAACATTTTACACTGTTGCATCAAACGGAAAACTAATTCTGCTTTCAATGAAATCAATTTGATTACTGATTTTGCATTCATAATGTTTGACTGAATATGGGCCTGTCGTAAATGGTTAGCATCCATGCTTCTCACGCTGAAAGATTTGAGCTCAATTGTCACCTCGGGCTAGTCACAAATGACCTAAATTTGTTAAAAAAAAAAAAAAAAAAAAAAATAATCATTAGTTTAACGACAGATCAACTTAAATCAAATTTTAAACAAGAAATTAACAGCAGAACTTCAAGTTTAGTTGCTTTAATTTAAAAAGTGTTGACTGCATAATAAAAACACAATATGATATCAGACTTCTGTCGCGACAATTGAAATCAAAATTAGTTTTCATTATGATAGGAACTGCAAACTTTAATATCGATTTGCTTTCATTTTGTTAACCGACTTTGCTCGGGTACCTCTCACCCCAGCCGGCCTGGGTTTAATCCCAGTCGGTGCCGCCGGGATGTTCTGAGCAGGCTTCCAGTGCGCGCGCTACCGTATGCGAGACGCAATACGAATAGTCTCATAATCATAGCAGTCTCATGCGCAAGAGATTTGTAGCACTCTGTTTCTCTCTCTTCAGTTTTGTCGCATCTCACATTCTCATAATGTCTGTGTGTCGCACTGTTTTGTAAGCACAGCACATTTCCGGATGTATGCGTTTCATGAGAACGAGTATTATGCGACGTCGCGTGAGCTGAAGCTCATGCGCTTTTCGCAATTTCAAAAAAATTTTCAATGCGACATCGAAATAACAAACTCAACTGGAAGACCAACTCGTGTTCTTGATGTGGGGAAAGTGTTGTTTTGTTTTGGAAACGATGGAAAGCGACCTAGCTACTACACTCTTATCGAACATGGAGAAGAGGCGTCGGATGGTTATGACCAACAAAGTTTTCCTAGCGGCAATTTTCGTTGATTAAAGGATTAACTTGAAAAATAGCCCATTCATAACGAACGAAGTAAGAGATGTGGCTTTGGTAAGCGAAATGTACAATCAAGTTGTGGTTTATTTGCTCGTTAATATGCTTTTTTTTTTAAAATTTCACCGAGGGTCCACGGTACTAACACTAGGACTATTTAGAAATCTGTCGTCGCAAATTGATTGCTTCAATTCAGCATCATGGTGGCTGATATGAACTATCCTGTGAGCGCTTACACATCTGAAGAATTCAGTTGCTGCCGTAGTTTTGTTGATTGACAGGTATTCAATACAATTCCTGAAGCAAGAAGCTTAGCAACAATCCGTAATACAGATATGACACAAATTGTTCCTAAATTTATTACTTTAACCTTAATCCAGTATTTCGTACCTACGTACACTGTGGTGCAAAGTTGATCGGACAAAGGTCGTTTTCATACAAACTAGCCAAGTTTAACATGTTATAAATGTGTTCTGTTATGATCAATTGGGCTGAAATTTTGACGCAAAACTACAAATATGTTGAATTTCACGTGTAAGAAATACCAAATTTTTTGAAGCACCTGCTGGAAGGTGACAATAAAAATAAAATTTGTGCATAGCTGATCGGACAAAGGTCAATGGAAAAGCAAGTTTTGTGTCAAACATTTCAACTCAATTGATCTGATAGAACACATTTACAACATGTTAAGCTTGGTTAATTTTTAAGTGCAGACTTGTGTGTATGCAATGAGAAGTCACCACCAAC